AGTTACTGATATATTTTATTATTTTAATATTTCTTTTTGTTTCTATGGCTTACTATTTTCCTCTCTTTCTCGTTTTCTAATATATACGTTGTCATATTTTACTTTTTCTTTTTCTATACCTTTTTTTAATTAAGTGATTAAAAATAGCATATTATATGTGTATTTTGAATGCTATTTATTATTATTATGTATTACTTGTGATTACAGTATTTTGTAAAAGTATATTAACTTTTATTAATACTTAAATAAAAATTTGGATCATAAAAATATAATAATAAAAACATTTTAATTAAAATAAATAAGAAAAATTTTTATTTCAAGTTTAATTAAAAAACGCAATAAATAATAAGTGGTATCCGATATATTACTACAGCAATAAAATAAAATTTAAATAATGATAAAAATAACAGTTTAAAATATTACGTTTTGTATACTTCGAGTTAAAATATCAATTAAACAGTAACCGAGAAAAATAAATTTTCTGATTTTAAAGAAAAAAAAATATTAAAGCTTAACTATTTAATATAAATGTCAATTTTCATATAAAAATTGCATGAAATAGTCAAATTAATCGTACAAATAATGTTAATAACCAAAATTACATAATTTATTACAGAGATATAAATGCCAATATATATATTAAAATATAAATATAATATAAGAGGTATATTTATTACAATAAATGTCATAAAAAATGTTAAAGTATGTAAATATTTACATTTCTAATTGCATGTTACAATTTTCATATTTTGAAAGATTTAATATAATTTATATTTGACATAATGTATAATTTAAAAATAATATATTTGACCATTCGTAAAGAAAATCTTTCATATAAATAATTCGATACGTACTTCTTCATTTTTTCTCTCTTATTCAATTAAAAATTTTGTTGTGTACAATGTGTTTTGCAATAATATTATTAAAAATATAAATATAAATTATCAGAGTAAATTGTTAGTTATATGAAATATAATAGTTTGAAAAAAAACTTGTTTTAAAACCTTTTGAGATAATTTTCATAAGAATATGAATTTATTATTCGAAAAAAGTAAAAATATAAAAGGAAATAATATAATTATTAATAACTCAAATTGATCTTCCTTCTGGACACGTATTTTTATATACTCATACACTTCATGTACTCTACTTTATTTTTATATTTAAGGTGACAACATCTAGGAAGTGATGTTCTTGAATCTTTTAATCGTATCCTTATCTATATATTGCATTAAATAATTTAGTATTAATTATTGAATGATAAAATGTACATATTTCGATTTATCAAGTTTATAAAATATTTGGAAATTTGCATGTATAACATTAAGTAAAATTTATAAAATATTTTGAAATAATGAAAATGATTTTCAAAGTTTTAATATAAAGTATAAAAAAAATTATGATGTAAAAAAAGCAAGTGTAATTATTTTAAGAAAAATATTAATTACTCTTGAAATATTTTAAAGTGTTTGAATAAATATTTTTATTTACTTAATATTTTGATTATACTATTGAAATTTATATTCTAATATACATATTACATTATTTTATATATATATATATATATATATATATATATATATATATATATATATAAATTAATATAAATATAAATAATATAAAATAAATAAAAAAATATATAATATAAATACGAAATATACATACTACATAATTTTATATAATTATTAAATATTGTATTATAATATTTTACAAAATTATGCGTCTAATTATTTATTATAATGATGGTGTATTAAAATATTCAGAAATCAATGTATTTATTATTTGATTAATATGATGTTAATATTATAACATTTTATAAGAGTTTTTTTAAATTAAGTTTAAGTTATAATTGAAATATATTATTTACAATTTTTATCAATAATAGAAAGTGTTGTTCAAATCGTTGTATTATTCATATACATAATAATTCATTTAACTGTACATGAAGAAATACAAAATTTTTATGATAAATTACAAATTATTATTCATATGAAATTAGAATTTGATTTTATTTAATTTTATTCTTCTCCGTTTACTATTTTGAATCAATTAAATAATTTTGATATATTAAGATGGCTAATCATTGAATTATTTTTAAACGTTGATTGATAGTTGAAGACTTGACATATACTGTAAATAGGGTTTACACATTGATAACTTTTGGCAAAAGCATATCGTTTATTGAGAGAGTACCAATTACATAAAAATAAATCTGTTATTATTAATGTAAATTATATGTCTATAATTATTTATTTAAAGAGAAGTTATTGATGAGGTGCCGAATTATACTATAATATACAAAATTAAATGTTTTTTAATATTGAACAACGATTAGAAATAAATTGATACTTAGGTGGACTAGCGTACAATTAATATTATAAGACAATTTAATATTACAAATTTTTTCAAATCTAGGATATCATTACTTTAGTCATCAAAATATAATTTATTTTTATATTTAGTTTTTTAATGAACGTAATTAATAATATTTATTCATTAAAGTAATTTATTATTACTATAATACTACTTTCTAATCCATTGTATTTAAAAATAAAAGTAAAATCTTATTATTTTCAAATACTTGCTTTATTATTCACACAATGGTTTATATTTATATGTTTAATAATAATAGTCTATGAAATAGATGCACCCTTTTCAATAATGAAATTCAGTCAATACTTAATATAACCATGGTCATATAAAATATTTTAAATGCATGAGTATTGAAATATGCAATTTTATTTCAATTTTCTTATTGAAAATTCCTTTTTCAGATATACATCAAAATATATCATCAAGAAATGAATACTTATGGTGCAATAAATATTTATAAAGTATTCAACTTTTAATACGTGTATTTCATTAGACCCACGCACACGCACACATATGTTTACATATTTTTATACATAATAACATGCATATGTATATATACATATATGGGTATACATAAATATATATATATATAATATATAATGCTGATTTTTAGCTATGTAATTACTTGATATTTTGTATTTATCTCTATGTCTATTATAGTTAAACGTACTTTTTGTGTACACCGATTAGTATTATTGTTTTACTTTATAAGAGCAGTGAAAGCTTTTCTTCAATTTTTTAACGAGTTTAGATTTGCAATGTATTTTAAAATCATTTTATATGAATTTAATATTAAATATACATTTAAATAAATTTATGACAAATACTAAATTTGAAAATAAATGATTTATTTTTTAGAAATATGTAGAAAGTTTCAATTTTCTATAATATAGAGATATGGTAAAATGAGGAAAAATATAAATTACATCTATTGAAATTTTATAATAAAAAACTCACTAAATATGAAATTTGTTAGGTTCTCTATAAAATAAATTCTCTATAGAATTAAACATAAAATTTGCTGTAAATTCTTTCTTGCAAAGAGATTATTTAATATTGAACTTATAAACACATTAAAATATAAAAAATTCATAGACTTACAGCTATCATTAATGATAAATCATTGATTTAATATGTGATATTTATAAATGAATGATTTTGATAATGAAAAAGTACCTGTGTAAAATTTTTATTCTTTTACCAAACTAAATAAATAAATATTTTTAAATAGTTCATTTTTAACTTAAGGGGTTTGGTTGGTTTTGGTTTGGTATACCAATATGATATATTTCATTCACTACACTTTATTTTCATATCTGCTAATATATGAATATTTCATATTTTAATGAAATTAAAATTCTAACAATGTTAATAAATAATGAAGAAGTTTGAATTATCATGAATATAACTTTAACACATACGCATTTATATGTTAAGATACTGAGTAAGTTTCATATAATTTATTATATAATAGGTAATGTATATATTTTATGTATACATTACAATTTTTAGATTTCAGTGAATTAATGTTGCTTATATAGTACTTATATATTATATTTCAAGAATAAAAAATGAAGAAATAAAAATAATATTGATATTTTATTGTTGTATTAATCTTTTTTTACACTAAAATATCGTCATAAACGCTAATCTTGCTAATGCACATATACATTTGGTTGTATAAAATAAATATATTTATAGCAAAATATAATGAAATAAAGTCGATTGACTTTATTCTTTAATTGTGACAAACCTTTTATATTTAATTATAAGAGATGACTAGTGTAACATGTTTATCTTTAATTATAATAGAACGTGTTAAAAATGGAGTGAATGGTTATTGTTAATGGAGAGAATGGAGATGAAGTGTTATTGAGAATTGATTATATCAACTATCGCAAAACGAAACTATTAAAGGAAAACCAACATCTTTTAACAAAACTAAATACTATATATAATAAATTAAAATGTACTTTTTATAATTAGTATACAAACCAATTATGTCAAAATTAATGATACTTACTTAATAAGTGATTTAATATCTATATATTTATAAGTTTTATATTACATCTTAATTTATAGTACATATAAATATATTTGTTATTACATATTGTATATATTTACTATTTAAAATATGTCTCTATTTGCAAATTTCATCATTTACTATTAGATAAGTAAAGGAAGGTAACTCTTATAATATATTTTCATAAGAACGTACTCTTATGATATATAGGTATAGAAAGGTATTCTTACGATATTATGAATAAAATATTATATTTAAATAATAAAGAATGATAAATAATTAATAATATATAATAGTTGAAAAAATTATACAAAATTTTGATCATATCTTTAAAAAGTTTTTTTTTGTATGTTTGATGATGTGACACTTTGTCAATGCTGTAAGTATACTTTCAGAAAACAAGGAAATGAGACAAAGGTGGATGGATTCGTATCCAGTGTGATACAAATAGTAATATGTAAGTGGGGAAAAGGGAGGGAGAGAGATGAGAAAGATAAAAGAGAAAAAGGAGAAAGAGTTTCAGTTTCATTTTCGCCTCGCTTACTCTTGTCACTCCATCGTGCGCACGCATACATTCTCACGGTGGGGTGTACAACTCCAGACTGCGGCATCAGTAGCGTCAAATCAGTTGCACGCGAACCGCGGTGTTGCGTGGGTCTATTTAATTTTACAATTATTGTTTACCTTGAGTTGTATGCATGAAGGCTTCCTTCTGTCAATTTGAACTTATATCGTTACACCGTGTATATACAACATGTTTTGGTTATTCATAAAAAATTTCTATACGGTTACTCATTGCCAACCTACATTATATGGTAATGAACTGTAAGATTTTGGAAATAATAAAAGTAATAAAAGGGTGAATTATTTTTATTCGAATTGTTATTTAATAGAGAGATGAAGGTGCAACACGACAAAAATGTCATTATTATTAATATTGATATTTACCGGTATGACAAATTCCGCTAATGAATAAATAAATTAACTTAGTAGATATTAGAAATTAACAGAAGAAATTAGAGTAAAAGTTTCGCGTTAAATTTGGCACGCAAAAAGCTGTAAAACGATAACGTTGGGAGAAGTGGAAGGGATGAGGTGATGCTACTTTGGTTCTTCTGCGCCTGTGACAAAACACGCTGTGCGCCGAAATCTTAGTAAGTTTATAGAAACAAAAACGGTTGATTCCGTCAATTATTGGAGTAGTAGAGCTGTATTGAACGATTTTCATTACTTTTGATTATAGGTAATGTTGTTTTGGAATCTAAAAGTAAGAGTTTGAATACAAAAATATTAATTTGTAAAAAATTTGCTATATTTAGTTTGACTTTAATTAGTTTAATAGTGAATACATTCTCTTTCACGAATTATAGTTACTATAAATAAATAAATGTGGGTGTATATATGTGCGTAAATGTATGTATGTGCCCTTATGAATATGTATATATATATATATATATATATATATATATATATACACACGTGTGTGTGTGTGTGTGTGTGTGTGTATATTAAACGTAAAATATTATTATTCTTGACTCGTAAATTTGAAGGTAGAATATACCATTAAAAATGTAACTAGATAAGAGATAATTGCAGCTGCTAAGTCGAGAAAACTATAGTTACTAAACTATAAGAAACATGAATGATCCAGCATGAATTTCGTTCATTAAAAAAAACACAAATCTGAAAACGGGGAATGGATGCAAAATATAGTAGATTTAAAAGCGGATTATTATTAAAAGTGCTGAAGTATATCTTGCCAATATCTAGCTGATCATCAATTGACTAGCTAAATCTAGTATTAATTACATACGTGAATTAAAATCATAAACACTATTTTAAGTTGATCTACAGTTCTGAGATAAATTTTGAACTATCCAAAATAATAACGCATTTGATAAAATTTTCGCATATATTCTAATGTGATATTAGACACACATCCTAACGTGTATCAGCAAAGGATCAAGTAAGTGTTAAGAAGAGGAATTTAGAAAAAGGAAACGGGAACACGAAGAGACGAAGAAGACGATGAGTTAAGGGAAAAAGCGTGGACTTGCAAAAGAGGGAGAGGCACGACGGATATCTGCAGTTGCGAGAGAACAGCAGCGCGTCAGAAAGCGTAAATGAGAGTGTATTCAGTACCGGTAGCATCGTATATACAGTGGTGCGTGTGCTGTACTTATTTTTGAAGAGTAGCGCGCGAATAGGAGGACGAGAGAGAGAGAGAGAGAGACAGACTGACTGACAGACAGATAGTCAGACAGACAGATAAAAACCTAGGAACCCATTTCTGAAAATGAAAGAGAGAAGAGTTAAATGTATGCACATGTGACGGGCGATGACGCGTCCTCCAAAGAGAACGACCATACGACGTTATACTGGCTTCAAAAGAATGCAAGTGCAACTTTAATTGTTTCACAGGTACCTAGATGCACTATATTTTAATCTTCTTTATCATTTTTTTCAAAACTTTTTCCCATTAATTATTCGGAGAAAACATAAACTTCAAGTGAGTTAAGGAATGTGTAGGGTATCAGAACACGATATAATGTATTAAATTATTAAGCGAAATAAATTAAAGGATTATTGAAGAAAAACATTTACTTTATCAAGAATTTTCATATACTGATATTTTAATATTTTATTAAATAATATAGAAGTTCACGTTATTATAAAAATAATATTATATAAAAAAACGTTGAATTATAAAGAACAGTTATTAAAAGTAGCTAAGTGAAATTATAACAATCTTTTAATTTTTAAAAGAAATAATTAATCTTATTATATAATTAAAATGATTATAATAATAATAAAACTAATTTAAATTAAAATAAACATATTTTACAATTTATCAATCATTTTAAAAATGTTAATAAAACTTTTATAAATTTATAAATTCTAAATCTGATAAAATAATATAATATAATTTATAATAAAAATATTTTTTATGTTACTTGGTTATAATTTAACTGCACATATGTATCGTTTCAGTTGATTAAATTGAATACTAAAAAGAAGCGATGGTATTTACTTAAACAAAAGTTATATAAAACCAAATGAAAAATTCATTTGTACATGATTTTCAATAGGGTAATAATTATATAATTCAAGTAATCCATAAAGTTATTACAAATTAAAAAAATAATTGGGTATTGTAAACTATTCAGTACGGCTATAAGTATATAATATATATATATATATATATATATATACTACCATTTTTCTATTATTGATTGTATAAATCAAAGCTTTTATACACAAAATTTAGATTTTTTAATAATATATTAACATAAAAAATTCCATTTAAATGAAATGAATTTTAAATGAAATAAAATGTTTTCATACTACTTTTGGGCTTGTTGTTTCTGAAATTTAAATTTAATGAGTAGATTTTGTATTTGGAATTATGAAAAATTATACAATTTACAATTAACTATATTATAATAATTCATTCTCATAAATAATTTTTTAATTATGTTTCTCTTATTTTAATTTATTGTAAGATTTATGTTGTATTTTGTAAGTATTAATCGCAAAAAATAATAATATAAAAATTAGTAATAAATATTGACCATAGTAATACATTAACAATTCAAATTTATACCAACTTTGAAAGTATTATATCTAATAATCTAATGTATTAAATAGCTTTAATTATAAATTTATTAACCTTGAAATATTTTATTATTTAAATATAATTTGTAATAATATTTAAATGAACTAAATATTGAACGATCGTACTTTCATTAGTGTAATCTATATATAAATTACATAGATTTATGAAAATTAAAATTGGTATTATAATATATATAATTCTTAATGATTAATGTTTTATTCTAAAATAAAAGATGATTTAATTTATTATTAAAATTTACTTTGTAGTAAGTACATCCATATAAATCTTTAAATTAAAATTTTCCGAATTATATCTATATATCAATTTTTCGAAATAGATCAAATCAATAATTTTCTTTCGCAAATAACTATTTCTAAAGGGAATTTTGTAAAATTAATATTAATGTGTAGAAACATTTATAATACATCTACAACAATCTTAGAGAATACTTACTTACGTATTATATAACATTTAATATAACATAAATGTAATATTTCTATTAAATTATTGAATGTATGATGAGAATATAAGAGATTAATAGTAGAATTATTGTATCATATAATCTTTTATTTAAGAATTACTTTAGAAGTTGGTATCTGTGTTTGTAGCTTAATTTTAATAAAAGCGAAATTTGATTTTTAATTATTTAGAATCTTTGATAAAAAATAAGATCGAAAAGGAAAAAATATACATACATTATTTTTTAAATATCTAAAATGTTTTAGGATCTTTGTACATTACTCATTAATTTTTGCTGTGTTTAAATAATTACTTTTCATTGCTATTTCTTTGTTTTTTGTTTTTCTCGAGATATATAACCTATAAATAAATAAATAAATAATTTTTTCTTTGAAAGCAATAAAATTTTATTAAAGACAATCATTTAATTATTTAAATATAAATATAAGTATTACTTAATTTTAACACTATTCCTTCAATAATATATACTCTGTTTATTGTATGCATCTTCTTTGATTAGTTATTTTTCAAGTTGAATACACATGAATACATGGAAATTTAATCAGAAAAAAGGAAAACTTTTCATCAATATATATTAACAAAACTTTTGTACGTTGCGTGTGATAGGTAAACGCACATAATACTTACCAAATTAGAAAAAATATAAACATAGACACGACTTGAAAAGAGCAAATATTTTGTTTTTCAGTTGTATCGCAATTCTATCTAGTTTTTTGACAGGTGTTCATTGTTTATAATATATTGTAATTTAATATATCAAATCAGTATATAAATAAAAATCTATTGTTTTATTTCATAACAATTGATAATACTTAAACAAACTTGTTATTCATGCGTAAGCACAAAATGTTAGTTTGATTAATTTTATGTTTATCTATATGGTTCTTTCAATCAGATTATTGTCATTTTTTAAAATACTTGAATGAAAAAATGTTTGAATTTACAAAAATGTTAATTCAAATTGATGGCAGTGATAATTACCATTATGCGTATATTATTAATTATTATGTAGACAAAATTTCGGCACTATAAAGAAAATGTATAAGAAGACTTTTTCAATGATTTGATATTAGATTTTATTTTAATTTAATTTAATTAATATTAGATAATTTTATTAGTATAATGAAAACATGAATTTTGCGTAGGTAATGTTTTAACTAAGGACGATCTAATAAATGAAGAAACTGTCTTTCTAAAAGAGATTATTAATATTATAAATAGATATTTTAGAAATTAAAAGCAATTTAGACAATATATTATAAAACCATATACTGCCAAGAGCAAATGACGTCGAAATTGTTTTAAGAGAAATCAACCGAAAAGAAATAAGAAGTCAATTAAGAAATAATTGAAAAAATTATAAATAACAGAACTTAATTGAAAAATTAATGAAAGAAATATAATAGAAAATTGACAAAAATATCAATAAAAAGATTCTATATAATTATGTGAATTAAATAATAAGAAAATTTCATGTAATATGTATATGTTATTCTATAGGTTTCTCAATATCAAATTAAAAAAATTAATTATTTAATAAATAAAAGAGTAAATAATTATTATATGATCATAATATTTATTCATAATTTTCATTATTTAAAATTTATTAGGAATTACCATTTTTTAAGCAAGATATTTTTATAATAAATGTAAGTCCAAAAGTACAACTATATTTTTCTTTTGTACATGATGCTGGAAGTAGAATATGTAATGTGATCATCGCTATCTTTTTGTAGACGCAGATTTCGTATCGACGCCTTGGCCTACATTCATTCATGAGTATACAACAGTATACGTCCATTTTTTGTATTTGTACATTCACATATATATATATATATATATATATATATATGTAATATAGCACTTGAAGAGTATATTTACATTGAATTGGTTTAGGAACTTAACGTTATTCATGTAAAAAACATGTCATTAATTTGTATATGTACGTCATTCTTAATGGACTATATATTATTTTTACTTTACGTATCTAAAAAAAATGAAAATATCAGCCAAATATTTTATAAGATCGACGTATAGTTTTTAAATATGTGAAGATACAGTACTTTATTACGTCACCGCTCAAGTAATGGATAATAAATATCATGATTGAAATATAATAGCATAATTTTATTGTAAAATCTTTTTAAATGAAAAATATTCATTTAATTCTATTTTTATATTTACTTAATTTACTTTATTAGCATCTATGTTTTGTTTGAAAATTTGCTTAGTATTTGATCATATTAGTATTTAAATTATCTTATAAGTCAATTCCTAGTGGGAATTGAAATGTATTTTTAATAATCTTTATTTGCTTCTGGATGGTAATAAATTAATATTAAATATTTTGAATACATTTAAAAAGGAATTGATTTTGAAATATTATAGGCATAAATTTAAAAGGATAATTTAAAAAACTTAATCAATATTTGTTTTATATAAATAAATTTAATATCTAAATATTATTTCACTCAAATTCTATTTGATTAAATTCATTTTTAAAATAAATTACTATTTTCACCAACAATTTCAAATTACATTATTTTATTAGGTCAAATTATCTTTTTATATTTAATAGCAAATTAATTTATATTTAAATATTAATTTAATTTGGGTTAATACTGCTCTTTCATTTTATTATAGTAAAAATTGATTTTTTATAATGAATGTATGTTAATTTGAAAAATGTACAATACAGTATTCGGTGAAATTTATGATTAAAAAGAATGAACATTTAAAGACTAAAAAAAGTTTTTATAATTATTTCCTTATCTTCTTAATGTTTATTTACATATAAATCATTAATTAGTTTTAATCTAGTGACTGTATAATTTTATGTAATGTAGAATTTATTTTTATAATTTTTACAGAGTAAGATTATTTTATTTAGATCAAATTTTAAAACTTTATTATGTATTCCATATTAGTATTGTGTTAACATAGTATGATTGTATTAAAAGTAATTTTATTTACTTATAATAAATATATGCAAATTAAAAAAAAGATTTTTTTATACAATTCAGTTATATCAATTTAATTATATTAGTAATAAATTTATGAAGAAAATTTATGTATTTAGTTTAATTACTGAGATATGTGATTATGAAATTCCTAAAAGAAATAATGAATCACACATGATTGTATATGAAAATGCAAGAATAAGAAAATAAGAGATAGAAACACAGCGACAATGTTATAAGATCAGTATATACTTTTCAATCATGTGAAGCTGTAGACTATTGCTTGACAAGCATTACTATTTAGATATTAAATTTCAGTCAAAAACAATCTATTAATATAATAAGATGTGATTAATATAATAAGATACAGATTTATAAAATGTTTTTAGAAGAAAGATCATCGTTTAATTATATTTCTATATTTAATACATTTACTTTTTTAGTAGCTAATATTTAAATAATTAATTATATTTTTTGATAATATTTTAATATTAAAAAATGTTTTTGATTTTTAAACAAATGAAGTTGTAATACAACAATATTGAAATAATTAGACATATTAATATAAGTAATCAGAAATACGTTGATTCATTTTTTAGAGCAGTAACTTAAAAACTTTTTGTCTTGAATTAATTAACTAACTTCTTCACTAAAGCCAAATATTAATTATAAAAAATTAATTTTAATAACATCATTTTATAAACTTTTCGATTGTGTTATTTTTATTTTTATTCACTTGTACTAAGTAAATAAAATTACAAATAATGAAAAAAAGGCATTGTACTTATAATATTTTATATATGATCGTGAATCTTCTTAATGAAAAATTATAATTAATAAAGTTTTGATGATATCAAATTGTGTGTACTGTGCGTAATTCCTAAAGAAAGCAAATTTATATTAAATTTGTTTGTATTAAAAATAGATTTTAAACGATAACATATTAAGAGATTTTTAAATAAATTGAATTTTTTTAGTGAATATTTTTATCGAAATAGATTGCACGATACTTAGTGTCAAGAACTATTAATATATTAAATAATTTATTATTTTATTGGCTTTATATTGCAATTGAAAATATTTTCATAATTGAAAAATATAATTTATATAATTATATATTTGTATGCAATAGATTGAAATTGCATTAAGTAAAAGTTTATTGTTATATACGTATCTGTCAAATAGATTTAAATTGTTAATATATATATATATATATATATATATATATATTTTTTTTTATACAGAATTTTAAGTATATCAATCATAAACTACAACTGATAAAGCCTACAACTGATTTATAACAATTTTTCAGTAAAGAAAAGCAGTACATACGTGTCAAAAAAATTCATTTGAACTAGTTTTTAATGAAAGTTTTTGATTTCATAAATAATAATTTATTCGATAGATATTTCGAATCTAAAATTTAAACAACAATGAGTTATCTAAAATTTTATTTAGGTTGGTCTTTTATTTAAATATATATTCGTTTGCAGTAATTGAACATGGTTAAATTCTATGTTTATTATACTTTTCAAATTTTTAGATTTTACCATGATTTTAACTACGATCAAAATTATGATAACCCTTATTGGTTTTTCAGCACAGTATAGAGTAACAGAAAAAGAATAGTGATGTTTTATCAGAATTTTTTTAATATAACGAAAGATATCCTGTGTATTTAAGCGTAGCGGAATAATCATACGAACAATAGTTTTTCCTTATAAATATTTTAAAAACTTAAAAGCGCTGTTTCTAAACCTGATTTTACAATCGGTAGATAATTATATTAAAAAAAACCTGAATAATTGCTCTAATTTGTATTCTTAAAATATTTACTTTAATAAAATAATATTTTATTTTAAACTATTTTATATTTTAATTGGAAACCTTTTAAAAGGCCTCAATTAAAAATATCCCTTATTCTTGTAATTTTATAAAAAAATTTTCGTTGTAAATTTAAATTAAATTGTATAAATAGGAATTATAATAAATATTTATTACATCCTTTTTTTAAATAATTCGTAAAAAGTTGCAAAATGCTTATTCTACGAATGATTAAAATGTTTTGTGTTGCACTTTGAAATTTTATAGTGTTACTTAATGTATTGATTATCGATATTTTGAATTATATCGTATTTTCAACTGTTTTTTAAAAGTACTTGAAGTTTTATAAATCAATAAAAGGATAATATTTGTTTTAAATTAAGAATTTTTATGAATTTAATAGATTTAAAATTGTAGTATAGTAACATTGAATATTGTTTAATAAATAATAAAATAATTTTAATATTTATATTTTTTATTTATAAGGATTGAATCATTTTATTTGAATAAAAAATTGCTTAAAAAAATTTTACATTTTTATTTTTAGAAAATACTTCAATATTATATAATTAACATACATATTTTATTCTGTTTTAGGTGAGAGGAAATATGTATTCAGTAATATCGTTCGTGAGTCTAATTTTTCTGTTGTTTATGTAAAAAAGTAATCTATTATTTATTATATACAATTTGAAAGGTCTACAAAAACAAATATGTAAAGAGTCATAGTTTTTAAATAAATAACAATACTAATAAAATATTAATTTCCTAAGTAAGTAAAGTATGTAGTAATGACATACTTTGGGTATAAAATATTATTATTCTAATTTTTTTTTATTTAAATGATCGAGTAATTTAATTTTCTGGGTGTATGTGTTATTAATGAACAAATAATTTTAATTTTATATGGGATCTTTTATATCACAAATTTTTAAATTACATATTTTTTTTACCTAATCTTAAATTTTGTTCAGAACATAGTACACAAAAGCTGTATTTTCATTTAACTTGATAACCTTGTGATAGTTGTTTGACATGCTAACCATATCATCGAGATGATATTCTTATTAAATATAAATAATGCTGCTTCGATTAAATTAAAAGATTTATTTTATGGAACAGTGTTATTTTGCTCATTCCACGATAAATTCGTGAACGTATGTTATTAATTCAAGAAAGAAACTTTTACTATTTTATTATAACATATGCTATATTTATTATAACATATACATATATTTATTATTATTCTAATCAATACATGAAAATATTTTATTTCATAAAATAAAAGAAAGGGTCCAAAACATTTTTTCAATCAAATTTATAATTGCAATAGTTATATAAGTTTTACGTTTTAACGAACAATGTTATTTATTTTGAGAAATAATTTCATAATCAAGTTTGACAAAAAATTTATAATCAATTAAAAATTTTATATATTTTTTATATAAATCTAATATTGTAAACAATTAGTTTTTAAAATATATTATATATAATTCAAAAAGTAAATTGTATATTTTCTTAATGTATTGTTTAAATTTTTAATTCTTTAACCTTCAACGATATACGTTTTTTGGCCTTTAAGTGAATCCTATAGATTTTTTGACACACAAGATCAGACTGATAGTATTGAAATCGACTTGAAATTCTCAATATTCGATTATTTTGGACTCTGCGTGCGGCATTTATATTTGCAAAAATAAGATAATGATTATTAAAATGTGATTATTTTAGGTCTAACAATAATAATAATATTATAATATAACTTTAATTTTTTATTTTGACATTTATTTTTATTAATAATTCATATTTATTATACAAATTATTTATTTCCATCAATATAGTGATAATATCAATAAATCAATATCAATTTTATATGTAAAAAGATATTTATAATTATAAATGATATATATCTTTATAAATTATCTTCAGAATTCAATTTAACTTTTTAGAATTTCAAGTAAATATTTCATGTAGATTACTTTATAATACTTTCATATTTCAAAATTTTTTTTTGTATTGTACAAATATAATGTTTATTTTAATTATTGTAATTCAATTTTAATAATTGTCAATATTGTACTAATTGTACTATTGACTTTAAAAATAATTGTACAATAACAATTTATTTTGAAATATTTTTTAATTTGTAAAACGTTATAACATTTAATAATTTTTCATCTTATAGTTTATTTACTGTATATTCATTCATAGCAAATAACTTTTATATTTAGTCTTATTTATATTGCTTCAATTTTTAAAAATTTGCATATAATATATTGCATATGAATTACATAAACATATGTGATATATTCAGTTATTAAAAAAATTCACTTAAATTGCACTGCAAATTATAAAACTTGTACAAATTTTAATAAATTAAACATTATATTTAAAATATAATATGTAATAATTACTTTAAATTTTAATCGAATCATAAAAAATATTATTTTAAAAAATCAATAAATGCTCTATACCATAAACTTCTATTTTTATATTGTTTGATGCAATGATTCTATCCTGACAATTATAATAAAAAAATATGTATGTGTAAATTTTATAATTGTAAATTTAATCATTCATAATTTATATTTTATTTCATTAGAATAAATATGTAAATAGAAATTTGAAAATATTTTTATAATATCAAAACTATTAAATTTTTTAATATTAGAATCCTTATTAGAAAGAAATAAGTTAATCAATTGAAATATTATATGCTTATTACTTTAAAAATTTATAATTTATGAATTTTATTTTTATGTTCTAAGGCGAAAAATAAATAAAAAATAATTACACAAAGCTATAAAATCTCGAATCTTATTAGTAATGAAATATGACGTCCTGGGACTTCTTTTATCTTTTACAGTATATGAATTTTTATAATTTTATCGAAATGTTATTATTATATCAAATATAACACCTTAAATTGGATGTCTGGGTTTACGTAGGAGATTCTAAATATATATTTGCCCTTTTTTAAAATATTCTTTTCTAAATTTCTTTTCTAAAATCTTCAATATTCTGACATTAGAAAATACTGTATATATTGTTATTATGTTATATACTGTGTTTAGCAAGCGGAAGAGGAGATCTAAATTAAGACTGCACTTGCAAATACGTTTGAGTTCTGCCTTACATTATCTATTCACAACAGCAGTGTTGATTATAGGCTATTGAACTAGTCTTGTTAGAGTCTATTATTCATAAACCAATAGAGAAAGACAAAGCATAATACAAACAGATCCACTGCATATCAAAAAAGAATTGGGAATATCCAAAAGGAATAATGTTGAATAATGATTCTTATGGTTCACATAGAATTATATACACTTAGAAGCAAAGAGGTAGAGAGGAACGCAATGTAGTTATGCAAATCCAAGTAATGCTTCAAAACGTAGATTAATTTATTTCCTTTTTTTTTATCATTGTGAATTAACTTTATATGTACTACATAGTTTTGATAATTAAATATAATTAAAAATGTATATGGATGATTGATTTTAAAGAGTTAACTGAATTAACAATTATATTATCTAACATAATAAATTATTAAATTATTATTTGATTTTTTAAGAAAAAATTATATTTATAATTAATTTAAATATTTAAAGATTAATATATTCTTCAAAATTTTATAGTTCCATTATGTTAAAAAATGTTTATAGTTAACTTTTTTTTGAATAAAATATTCTGCTAGTACTGTTATCCGATATTTTTGAAGATATCGATTAGTTATAAATAGTATAATTAAAATTAAACATGCTACAAATAATAAAATATAAAAACAACTATTCATATGAAAAGTGATTGTTTTAGTTGATTGTACACTTAAATCTGGGTAATTGATAGATTCAAAACATTACAACGATGAATGAATTAAAATAAATTTAACCACAAAATGAATAAAAGTTGTATTGATTATAACCTAACTGTTGGCGACGTCATCACCGTCGTACGCAACACTGATGCAAAAGCGTAAACGTGTTTTCAGTTTGAGGATGCCTTGTTCTACTTCTTTCACTCTTTTTCTCTTGCGCTTTATACTACCTCCCTCCGACGCTTTTTTGGTGTTTCTCATTCATTTTTGTATCCGATTGTGTTAATTTAGTTTTCATAAAAAATATGTATATAAAAAAAACAAAAAAAATCAATATATAAATTATTTGAAAGAACTTGAATTAAAAATAGATTGATAAGCGACAAACATTTGAAGAAAGTTTTTCATATAAGATTTTAATTAATGTATTGATTTCTGATAGCTATAAATTTCTTTATGTTTGAAATGAGAAAATGAAAAATCTAAATATTTTTTCCTGCAGTTACGTGTACATTATTATTTACAATAAATAAATATACAACTGAATTACAAAAATCTATAGAAAGCCCTAGTTCTTAAATACAGATTTTAATATTTACATTGCTGTTCATTTTAAATATGTATTATTAAGAACGAAATAATTGTAAAATTGGTGTTGTAAAACAGCAAATATATTTAGGATAAAAATATGTAAAATGTTTTTAATTTCAAATTAAATCAATAATATAATTATCAGAGAATAATATATAAACAGATTTAATATTTTGTTAATATGTTAACATTTGTTTTAATTTACTCTCGTTGAATTTTGAAATTAAGATTGAATACAAATATTCTTTATAGTAAAATAACTTTATTGTATAGTGATATAATATAACAATGTATAATACTATGCATAAACATTTATTTAATTATTTTAAATAGTAGCAAAAAAGTTGTAATATATTAAAAATTTAAATATGGATAAAAGATTATATACATATTAATATAAATAATATTACTGGTTTCAAAATTGCTTCGAATACTTGAAATATTTGTCGACATTTCTTTAAAACAATCGAATCATTTTTTTATTTTTATATAAAATTTATTTTACTAGTATGAACGTGTATGAAAATTTGATGAAACTCGTACAAAATTTTTTATGAAAGTTATATGAAACATAAGAATATTATGATGGTATTATGATAATACAGATGATGATTTTACAGAAATATTTTTTTTTATAATTAATATGATAAATTATTACTTGATATTTTTATTATTATAGCTAAATTAAAGTTTATATTAAAGCTAATCAAATTTGAACTGAAGTTATTAGATAAATAGATGTACTATTCAAATAAATAAATGATAAATCTAATTATGAGATAGAGTGATATATATATATATATATATCTTAAAATATATATTCCCAGATCAAAATTTTTTTTATATATAAATCAAATAATTAAAAAATATAAATAATAATACAAAAAAATATAAATAATCTTTATATTATTTCATATTTTTGTTGCTTATTGAAAATAAATAATTGTATACAATTTGTAACAACTATCTTTTTTATATATAATTTGATTTTATTATATAGTATGTAGTTTTAGTTTCAATTAATGGTTTCTTAACTATATTTTTATTAATTTATATAGACTTATAGTAAATAAGAATATCGAAAATATAAATTAACTAAATTAAAAGATTATTTTATTTAAATATTTCATGGCAATAAGTATTTTGATTAAATTTTATGTTTAATACAAGTAAAACATCAATGAAAAATTAGTGAATTCATTTGAATAATACAATAATATTT